CTGCTGTCAACTAAGCTGCAACACCAGGATTTGTTCTACTTTCAAACCATGCACTCAAAATGTCAGCATCATTGCAAAGAAACACAGGAGCTTGACACCTCACATGGCACAATGCAAATTTATAAATGTCATCAGACTTTGACAGAAGCTTTACTGACTTTGCCTCAGCTGAGCCTGTTGCTATGTATAAATGTGCTTCCTATTTGGCCCAGATATATGAAGATGTGGATGACACTGCCTCCAAAATTGGATCACTCTTTCACCTGGACACAGCTGCACAGGAAAATGAAATACTCATCCTTCAAAATGGCATTCAGATGAAATGCAAGGCATCTGAAAGGAAGGGTGAGTTATACACACAGTACTATTAAATAAAACATCTTAACATAAGAATGTAGCCATATACTTTTTGGCTCAACCTACCTATGTGGGTCTCCATGTTCTCACATGAAGATTAAAAAAAAGGAATTAAAAAATACAGGTTAAGTGCAGCGTAAGTATCCTTCAATTGAAATGTTTGCTTGCAGGCTAAAGCCATGTGACTGAAATAAATGAATGATAGACCTAAAAGAGGCTGGGGATTTTCTCCTGGGATTCATCAGCTGCTTATCTTTCTTCCCCGGAACTGGATCCAGGTCTCCATGATTCAAAGCATGGCAGCTAATTCAGACAGACTTTGGTGTTCGAGTGCATGAAGCGTCTTTCACCTTTCTTCTTCCAGAAGAAGCAGCTAGTATTGTCTGGATGTGTTCAAGTTTATTCAGCCAAGTCAAAAGTTTCATCCATGAAACTGGGCATACCTTCACAATACCAGAGGATAGAGAGAAAAAAGTAGTGTTCCTATTGAGGTTTAATGAAGTTAAATAAGGAAAACAGTCACAAAATAAAATCTTTAAGAAGAAATAAGGGTAGTGATTAAGACCTAAGAAAATATCCAAAACTCTCTTTTATTAAATAACTATAAAAAATGCTTAAATCCTAATTTATCCCTCTAGGACACAAGCTTCTAAGATTATACATCAAGAAAGCCTATTTCCCTTCTTACAATGTTAGGAAACAGGAACATTTTATAGCCAAAATTATTTATTTTTAGTCTTAAAAGACATAATCCCTGATACAGGTTAGCATCATGTTTAAACACAATTTTTTAAAATTGTTAAATATATATTCATGTTTGAATTTTATGGACCAAACAGGATTTGGCAGCAGTGGCGGCTCACACATCCAACTGGCAAAATCAAACAGCTTAATTGGGTCATCAGCTGCAGTGATTTGCTCTGGTCACAATGATCACAATCAATTAAGAAACAGTGGCTGAGTTCTTTCCAGATGTCGAGACAAAGCCGATGGATTCTTTCTCCTCCTCGAAAGCAGCGAGTTGACTGTGAGCTACGAGCGTTATTAATAGCCACTGCAGGGGTGTCGAGGGTCTTTGGCTGTCAAAGGGTTGAGGTAGCATCAGGGTTCAGAGCAGTGCTGAACCACCATCTCCTCGATGGGTGAAAGGCTACTGAACAACTCTGTTTTAAAGCTTTCTTTCTTGAACAAAACACACCTTTGTTCAGTTTTAAATTACTGTAAGGGGATAAGAGTCTAACAATCTGCCAGTGGATGACAGTGGTGAGCCTGCTGTCATTCAATATAAACTAACGTTGGTGTATGTGTGACAATAAGATGTTCAAATTTAACCAGTTTTTACCTTAGATTTTACCTTGCTTGGTTGGGGAGGCTGGAGAGTTCTCACTTTAAGCCTATAGGGACAAAGAAAACAATTTAGTACAATTAAGGTTCTCTACTTAGTTAATAGCAGAGAATAAGAAAAGAGCTCCATCCTTTAACCTTTCTTAGTGAGATGTGTGGGCCCTATTAAAGCAACAGAGCACAGAAAAGAAAGTAATTCCTTTGGCTGTCTCCTGTAGCTGTATGCACCACTATGCACCATGTCATGTGCAACAGATGAGACCAACAGGAGGGTCCAACATTATGCATATCCAGAGGCCTGCTACACCTGCACAGGAGGAGTAAGCCGCTGCTTTATGGTTTTGTCGATTATAGAGCTAGTCCATCCTGAGGTTCAGTTTACTGCATTCAGCTGCTGGCTTTTATGTACTTATCTGAGGTTCACTTAGGATTGTACTGTGGTGTTTGGCTGTCTTTCCTTTACAAAAATACAGCAGATAATACTTCAATAGATCTTTTTAGCAATGTATTATCTAACCGTGTTTTATGTCTGACAAGGTAACTGGAAGAGTGGTACGGTTTCAAAGGAGAATCAGCTCTGACCGTAAATTGTGTACAAATACTTGGATAGCAGCCTAAACAAAGACTCTAAACAAATAAAAAAGATAACAATGTCTGAGTCATAATCCTACTTTTAATAGGTCTTTAGCTTCCACCTGTTTGTTTCTTAGCATATCTCACTTGTTGCAAATTTCAAAGAAATAAGGAACAACTTATTTGTTTTGGTGCAAATGCAGGAATTCTTCAAAGGATTTCTGTGCAATCTGTGAAGCAAGACATTGGCTTCGTAATATTTTTACAATAAAAAATGTACCCAGAAGAATACCAAATACAGTGTGTGGGGTTGACAGAAAATAATTGGACATGTCAGTACGAAATAAAGAAAGTGAGTTAAACAGACCTAGTAAGGCAGCAACTGAATTAATCAAGGGATCAATCAGATGTAGTTCATGTTTTAATGGATCCTAAAAGTCTGTACTGGGCTTCCTTGCCATTGCAAGTCAAGACTTCCCTGGCATTTATTTGCAGAGCAGTAGATTGAAGGGAGTGAAGTTATGATGGGTTTCAACACTGATCAGCATGCGTTCATCCAATTTAGATCGACATCATGCCTTTCAGGCCTGTTCTCCACTGCTGAGGAAGCACAAAATTTATCCAGAATTATGTGAGGAAATTATCTTCCAGAAGCAAGGCACAGCCCAGTCAAGCATTTACAGCCACAGCAGCAGGCTCTACCACTCACTATGAAGACTCTTCTCCTCCACTCAGGAAACCCACAGCAACTGACAAACCTGGAAACCTTTGTGTCTGATTGAGTGCTGGGAAGCCAATTAGAGGTGTTTGTCAGTGGAGGAACACTCACTATAGCCACCATTTGTTATGGCAATTCTGTGACTGAAACAGCATTAAAAACTGCAATGTTTTATTTCCTTCTTTATAAAATGACAAAACAAAACCAAAAAGGCAAACTCGCTTTCAATTGTTGATATATTATGGCCTATGTGCCTTGCCAAAAAACCCATCAAGAAACAGAGAGCAACAACTCTAATGACCGACAATACTGAACACATTATTATCTATGTTTAAAATGATCTGCTTATCACTCCTGGTCATACTCTGTTTAGCAGGAAACAAACAGTTTCCTTTAGAAGGTTAAGAGAGCCCTTGAGAGACAAAGACCAAGCTGCTGGGGGCTAGATGTGACAACAGACCAGCAGTGCTCTCTACTGGCAAGAGAAATAAAAATAAAAATTCATCAGACTCCTCAATTCCCTCAGTACAGTTTTCTTTAGGATCAGTGAAATGGAGATTGGTTGGTTGGTAGGCCATATGCATATTGACAAAGGTTTCAGTGAGTACACATTGGTCTTTTCACATGCCATTAAAAATAAACATGACGTATATTTCTTTTTGGTATGTGACATACTTGAGAATTATTGTCCACATTTGTACCACATGTATTATTCATTATAAATCTGTTCAATGAAACATAATTTACACATTCAAAGATATTGATTTTATATTTATACTTAGAAATTAAATTCAGGCATTCATCTCAATTCATCTGTGTTGGACTATTACTTAAATACAAATAACTATTATTACTCCCATGTTAACAACTACAGATACAAATACAAATAACCATTATTACTCCTATGTTTCCAACACTGTTAAGGAGGTAAAGTTGTGCTGTCTATCACGTAACCTGCCTGCCTGCCTGATGACATTTTGCCTACTTATTCACTGTAGCTTAGGACCAGATTTGAATGACAGACATTACAAACTTAGAGGATATCTTCAGCACGATAGTTAGCAAATCAATCAATGAAATTCATGTGCAAGCACAACATTGTTATCTGGATTTAGTTGTCCTTTAGAGCATGACCAGTTCATGGTTGTCTAAAAGAACCCAGATACCAAGAAAAAGAGCAAACAGAAAGTTAGTCATTACAATCATAGATGTGATTAGGAAATGGACCTCTGGAACTGACCTAATCCTGAACTGCCAAAACAGTGAATCAAACAGAAATTATACTGACATTATAGTTTTTATGAAGTTGTAATTGTGTAGACAGGTGCTCACAGTTGATTTCATTCAAATATAAGGACGTGTGACAAGGGGCTTGGTTAAATTGATATTTAATATGAGCTATATACTTCCAAGTTTTGAATTGAAATACAATTTTGCCTCTCTTATCAAATGCTCCTTTCTTAAAAAGGTCAAGTATGAGCAAAGAAAACAACCTAAAAAAGTCAAGGGTTGAGTGCACTGGGTTCATCTTATCTCTTTACCACTGTATATCAGTTAAAATCTACAGCAAATGCACTCAGTGACAGGACCCTGAGTTTAGTACACACCAAAGGCCACTTACACTGAATCCTTTAATAGGTTAACAATGCAGTGTGTGTGTGTGAGATATGTTAAGAATAACTGAGGTATATGTACATATAAATCTTAGAACTTACAGTTAATTACAGATAACGCCTTACCAAGACAATGGAAAGTATATTCTAATTTTACAGACTTTATAACATTATAATAATTGGGGACATTTGATTATTGCAGTGAAATTATCAAGGATGATGTTGATGTAAAACAAAATATAAAAAAAAAAAAAACATGAGGTCAGTTACTAGCAACATTCAGTACAAGTGGACATGAATGTGTTAATATACACTTTCAGAGCACCTGACTTAAAAAAAAAAAAAAAAAGGTTTTGGGGGCTTGTCAGACTCCATTCCGCATACAAACATTTGCACAAGGTTCAGTCATTCAGTATTTCACAGCCTGTCCACCTTAAATCAAGACCTCTGAGATTTAAGGTAAGCAATAGAATTTAGACCTTAAAGCACCAAAACATGTAATGTTGAACATTTCTGAATATAATTACAGTTACAATATTGCATTCTGTATTCTGCAGTATTTATATTTTGATGTAAATTTTCTATCCACAGCTGGTATGCAAACCATTGTGCTGTTGGTGTTGTGGGTACTGGGAACATCGCTGGTGTTGCCAGACCCCGACACAGCTGGGGAGAAAGTGGTCGAAGAGCCTATTCCATGTTCTAAGGGATGCACCTGTCTTCATGATGACTACACCTTGGAGCTCAACATGTACTGCAGTGTTCGAAACTTCACACAAGTCCCACCTGACATACCCCCATCCACTCATTCTATCTGGCTGGATGGCAACTTGTTCACCTCACTCCCAGCAGGGTCTTTTAAGGATCTTAGTAACCTGGACTTTTTGAATCTAGAGAATGGCAAGCTGATGACACTTGACCCTCAGGCTTTCAAAGGACTTAGGTTGCTAGCCCACATTCACCTTGAACGAAATCGCCTCCGGGTGATACCAGCTACAATCTTCCAGAATACACCTAACCTTGCTTCACTTAGTATGCACAACAACCAGCTGGCTCGTATTGAGGAAAGACTGTTTGCAGGACTCTCACACATGTGGCTTCTCAACCTAGGGAGGAATTCAATTGCAGTTTTGCCTGAGACAGCTTTCCAAGACCTGCATGGTCTACGGGAGCTTGTTCTTGCAGGAAATAGACTTGCTTACTTGCAGCCACAGCTTTTCCAAAATCTTGTTGAGCTTAAAGAGTTGGATCTGACTGGAAATTACCTCAAGGTTATCAAAGCTAATGTGTTTGTTAAACTCACTAAACTACAAAAGCTTTACCTGGCCCAAAATCAGATTGTGACAGTGGTACCCAGAGCCTTTGTGGGGATGAAGTCGCTAAGATGGCTGGATCTCACTAACAACAGACTGACTTCTCTCCATGACGACACTTTCTTGACCCTGCACAATCTTCACGTACTGCGTCTTTCCAACAACTCTATCACTGGAATTAGGGCCAGGACTTTCCGTGATCTGCAGTACTTAGAAGAGCTACGACTCAGCTACAACAGGATCCGAGCCCTTGGGGAAAGGATCTTTGAAGGGCTTGGTCATCTGGAGGTCCTAGAGCTAGAGCACAACCAAGTGCAGGAGGCACAAGTGGGTAGTTTCACAGGGCTCTCTCATGTGGCTGTCATCAACCTGTCTGGAAGCTGCTTCCACAGTCTGCCCGACCAAGTGTTCAAAGGTCTGTCAAAGCTTCACAGCCTACATCTGGATAGAGGTTGCCTAACAAGGATCACAACTCAAGCATTCAATGGACTTTCTGGTCTACGGAGGCTTTTCTTGCAGCACAACAACATCTCTGTGGTGGAACGCAATAGCTTTGTGGACCTGGTGGGCCTATTGGGACTGGACTTAAGTTTCAACAAGTTGGAGGTTCTCACAAGCCATACATTCTCTGGCCTCAAGAATGTGGAGTACTTGCTGTTGTCCAACAATGAGTGTCGACAATTTTTGCAGAATGGCACAAAACAGTTACTCCCAAAGCTCCGTTATCTGGACCTGAGAGCTAATGCCTTGACAAGCATGGTCCCCGATTTCCCAGAGAGTATGGAAAAACTTTTGCTCTCTGGCAACAGGTGGAAATGTGACTGCAGTGCCCTCCCACTCAGAAACTACAGCTTGAGGAATCCGTTGGTGATACCTCGGCAAGTGGAGACCCATGCAGAGGGTGAAGAGCCTGACACAACTATCACCATATACAACAACATTACATGCACCAGCCCACCACGTATAGCTGGTCAGGACCTGCGGGATATTGACAATGAACTCTTTCAAAGCTGCTAGACAAACCCTCACAGGGGTTTTTAAGGCATTGGTTGGTGGCAAAAAAAATTCTGATGTTACCCATGACATTATCAACAATGTAAACTCATTCAGTTTTCTGATTTCGTGATTTTAACTGTAATACTAATGCATGATTCAGGTTCTTGTTACAAATTTACACATAAATGTACATACAATATTTTTAAAAACAGCTATGCTATAATTGAAAAGACCAACCAACCAATATTTCTGTTGCTTCAACTTTATGGAGTTATATCTTATTATCGACTGTCTAATTGTGGAAAATTGCAATAAAGTTGGCAAACTGTCACCTTTTGGCAAAAAAGGGAGAATCAGGCATGTTCCTCAATCCAACACAAATGCTTTCAGATAATTAAGTTTGTATTAACAATGGAGAGTAAGATGGATCAGAGTTTTACCACTTTGGATTTGGACATGTTTCCAGGAGATCAAAAAAAAAAAAGTTAACGTGTAATGCATTTAGATGTATTTTAAAAATATTTGTATATATTTTAAAGTTTATTGTTCATCAATAAACCACTTGGACCTCCCTTCATGCCCATGAAAACACAAAGTATCAAATTAACACAAGTGTGATAGCATTTTCACTGATGTGGTCATGAGCATTTTGGGACAATAAAAATGGGAAACTGCCACAAACTGTTGAAAAACCATTAAGAAAAATGGAAACAGATGAATTTTTGAGAACCACATAAACCCTATGCAAAACAAAGAGCAACAAAACTGGCATGTTACAAAATGAAAAAGTGATTAAGCTGTAAATCACAATTTGATCATTTATGTGGCTGGCTGAACAAACGTTTCTCAAAAGGCAGGAGGAAATATCTGCACAGCTCAGAAATGTATTCAAGTATGTTGTTATGTGTGTATATGGTTTAGAAAAGATCCATGTTTGTTACTTTAAAAAATACAATGTTGCCTTAAAAAAAAAAGCCTTAAAATCAATAAATATTTTAAAGTCTGTGTGCCTGTGTTCCATGTACCCACAAAATTACCTTTCCAACCCACAGCTGTACACCAGCAGCACCATGTCTCAAAGTTCCACAGAAAGAAAATACACAACACATACAAAACCTTTCAAACAGTTTGCACCATACGGTCGACGCAGCACCTGCAAGATGGAGGTTGAATAACATCATTTTAGCACAGCTATCCAAGCTAGTTTACCTATCTTACCTGTCCTTTCTTCATTTAGCGCAACATAAGTTTCATTTCAACAAGCCAGAACGTTAGCATGTTCATAGAAAGGATTTACTGATGTCTGTGCACCAGTTGGGTTATATTTGTGCAAACTTACTTAGTTTAACATATCTTGAACATGTCTCTCTCTCTCTCTCTCACTCATAAACAGCCTCAGCAGAAGGCCTGTAAGCTAATCGTCTGTTCAGGTGTAAAACACTTTTTTTTGTGTGTGTTTGTTTACGCGGCTTCCTGACAGTACCTGAAGGCAACATTGTTGACGGAGCACACGTGCTGCACGGAGAAGCTTTCCGTTGCCAATGGTAACTAAAGAGCCTCACGCAATGTCCGTGAACTGCGGCACATAAACGGTAACGTTACATTACAAAAAAACTACCTTATTAACAACATTTGCAGGTCTGTTCCTGTCCGCTAGTAATGGACCACAATCATTCATCGTGTTGGGAATCAATTCTGGAGAAAGTTAAACCACATATACCAACCATCGACTTCGATTCTTCATCCGTATGTTTTTTTTTCTATCTAGAAATGTGCTAACGTCTGCAAACTGACAAAACTTGTTTTTTATATCACGTCACATAAGTTAACTTTATTTACAAATGCAAATAATGATTCCTCTTAACGTTACAGTCCGACAATGAAGAGATTATTCCCATATATCAAAGACCAGCTGGTCTTTCCTTGAAGGTCCTTGAAGACTTCGACAGTTTTTCGTTAGATGATGATGAACGGGAGGTTAGTTAACTACAGTCTCATGAGTGTTAATGGTAGCAAGGTAAGGACCCCCTAACAAAGCAGATTGGTAATCACAGATATATGTGTGTGTTTCTGTGTTTTCTCAATCAGCAGCTGTTGGAACCTGTAGCACAGACATGCTGGTCAGAGGAGACCTGCAGCCACAATGTGAAGGTGGATGAGGATGACATTGTAAAAGTCGCTACTGCAACTCAGTGCTGTGTGCTACACTCTGATGCCGATGTTGAGGTGGGTTACTGTATATTAATCCACAGCCACTGGTCTGGGGAGAGGAAAGCACACCAGCGTATCATGACATACACTAAATATTCACCCTGTCCTTTCTTCTCCTCTCCTGTTTCGTTAAAGGCAGCTGCTTGTGAGCTGAACGCTTCTGTAAAACCAAATGTGGACAACACAAAAGCTGATGAGGGTTGTCCCGTTCTTTCATTTGCTGTAAGTTTTGGAAATAAAAAAAAAGTTAGGCGTAGTCGTCACCAGGTACGACCGATGCAGGTAAATATTCTCTAAGTGTTATAACCTCTTATCAAAAACGCTGGTTTCAGAGACTTGACGAGTGGGATTTGGGTGATGTCCTCCAAAATCTGAAAAAAGACGGGTTGTCTCTGCAGCAGTGTGTGTCAGTCGAACCTGAAACAACAAATGCAGGCAAGTAATTATAACACACACCACTGTAGCTATAGTGAATGATTTAGGGTTACTTATCGGGGGTTATGTATTTAATAATTTACAATATTAATTCATACTTTCAACACATTTCTGTATATAGATGGCGACAGGAAAAGGGCCCAGCGGGATATAATGGAGAGACTGGTTGCTTTCACTAAAAGCCAGTCATCTAAGTCTGTGTCAGAGCCTGTGAAAAGTTCAAATCATGTCAGGTAAATCATATCACTGATGAGGATTTATGACCAAATTCATAAGATAATAATAACCACCTTTTTCATGCAGACAGAGTAATGTGTGGAACAAGTCAGACAGGATGGCAGCAGAGTTGCAGCCAAGCCCCCAGGAATGTCCCACTGTTTATATTGACCTGCGTTGCCCTGAGCCTTCAATAAAAACACCAATAACATCCCAAAATCTTTCATCAACGTCCGAGTCACCAGCCAAACACAACACACACCAGGAAACACCACCTTCAAAGAAACCCAGTCTTAAAGTGCATAGTGGATCACGGACGGGAGACAGGTACAGTAAATATATACTGCATTAGAAACATTTGTCATGCTTCAGTCCAGCACAGTATGTTGCAGTTCATATTGCCATTTCTCTGCTTCCAGGGAAGTGACTGGCAAGAGCATGTTGCTTCAGAAAATAAGGGAGATGAATAGAAATGGGAGTAAATATCCCAATAAATATACAGATCCTCCATGTCCTGTGCTAGGGAATAAAACAGAAGAACTGAAAGCAAAGCTACCCAAAACTGTAGAGTCTACATGTTGCCATGAGTCACACCATCTGTGTGAAGATAAACAGTCTTCACATGTACAGTTTGAGTACAGAAACCCTAAAATGGAAAGCCCACCAACCACTCAGCAAAGTACAATGAAAAAACCAAAGCAGCAGAGGTATGTTTTTTTCTTTACTCACACAGCACATCATTGAAAATAAACATATTTTAACCATTACAATGCTTTTGTTAGTGACCAACAGAGACAGGAAGTTAAGCAGATGTTACAACATGAACAACACCAGCAAATTCTTAAACAACTGGACAAACACTGTCCAACGAAATCAGTAAATCAGAAGCAGCCAGCTGCTGAAAGAACCGATGTCCTTTATGATTTTGTAAGTGCCTCAAAAGTCATAATTACAGTACTTAAAAAATGGCCTGCACTCATAATGATGTGTTTTTCAGGAAGCATCTCATCTAGAGTCCATCAGCACACTACCAGTGGATATTGAAAGCAAGGGGTGTATGCTACTGATCGTTAACCTCTCCAGTCCTGGTATGGTCGGAGACAGAGCTTATGGGAGGAGAAAACATCTGTATTCAGCTGCAACCAAATCACACATCTACAACACTTTAGTGGCTTGGTTTCTGTCTTTGGTTAGTGAGCAGTGCTGTTCCTAATGTGTACCAACCAAAGCTCAGTTCATGCTTCATCATATAAAGGTCACTTATTACTGTGTATTAGGTCGGCCCAGACCCACATCCCGATGAAGATGAGGTTGGTGCAAAGGTCCCATTCTGGGTTGCAGGACTTCAGCAGCTGTGGACAGAGGATGGACTGGCTTTGCATGTGCTAGTCATGGCTCGTCACTGTTATACACTGAGGGTGAATAGACAAAAAAAACAAACTCTATAGGCTTTACAATGTCTGATGATTTGAGAACTGATGCTTTCTTTTTGTTTGTTTTGTAGAAAAGGGACAAAGACATCCATGCACCTTTCTATTACAACGTCAGCAGGTTCCTCTCTGAGACCTCACTCACTCTTATTGCCCGCTGGCTACCTCAGCTCAAAAATTTGCTAGACCAACGAGCCTTTGCCTCACCCATCCATCTTCCCTCTTCCTGTTTAAGTTGTTTCATCTCTGCCACCTCCAACAAAAAGGTGTCTTGCTCCAGAAGTGTGATTCAGTATATTTTCAAGCACTAAGATGATTTTGCATTCTGTTGACTGTATTCTGTTCCCTTGGCTTTGTATTCCAGGTTATAGATAGGATGTTTGGTCTCAGTCCAGCGTTTTACTGGCAGACTGTCGAAACTCAGGAGCGTGTTTGTAAGGGGAGAGAGACCACACTAGATCTGCACACAGAGGTCAGCACATTGTCTTTCAAAAGTGTACTTTGTAGTGGTGGTTATTGTTTTTTAACAGCTGCCTTTTGAGCTCAGGAAACACTATATCTGAGACTTAGCAGTAAATATGGAGTAACTGAATATATGTGAACTTTCCTCTCATTTTTGTTGTAGGTATCAGTTGCTCTGGGGTGCAAAGCTTTCTTCCTACAGCCCCTCATAACACACTACACCCTCCAGCTTGTTCTTGAGTCAGGACTTGATGTGTGTGGTCTGCGGCTCCTGTATCCACCACATGGGTTCTGGAGTGACAGTGCTGGTACGACATAACTAAAGCTATCTGGTCATAAATGAATAACTCTCCTTCTGGCTCATTGGTCTGGTGTGCACCCTGGATCCAACTGTGGCCTTTGAATGTGTCTTCATTGAATAAAAACTCTCTTTCTGATTCATAGGTGCTGTACCAGTCATCCAGAGAACTGATGAGACCTGCCAGCCCGTTCTTGCCCTGGCTATTCGGGGCCCTCATGCTCACTCAGTTTTGAAAGATTTAACTATTTCCTTAGATCCTCTGCTGCCCAGAATGACAGATCCAACCTCCCTCAACACTCTCCACTGCAGAAGTCAAGAACCTTCACTCTTCTACTCCTCTCGACTGGCCAGTGAAGTCCACAGGGAGCTGTGCTTGTGGTTTTCAGGAAGATTCCAAGGAGGACGTCCACAGAATCAGAACTGGCCTCCGAATAGGTTTGTCAGAATTCCAACATTATTCAATAAAATTAAGTTTTTTACTTTGTATACGCTTTTTTTAAAAGTTATTTCTGGATTTATCATTACTTTTTTTTTTTTTCCAAATGTGAGATGGATTTGAAAAAATAAAGGAGGAATGTCCTAATTTGGGTAAATTGCATTGCAGTTTTTTGAAAATATTGCAACTGCAAATCTAAATCTTCACGCTCAAACTTTTAATGTCTTATTACTGTGTGTAGAGTTTCACCTTCGGAGGACGGAGTAAGAGGCAGCCTGTTCAATTTAAGCACATCACCTTCCTTTCTGTGTGCTACAACAAAAGGTACTGTGACTCAACAAAACTGTCACAAGAGGGAAAACTGGCTTATGTCCACATTTCATTTTCAGCTTTCATCTTTACTGCCCTGAGGGAAATTTCTTTTGCAGCAGGGATCAAAGATTTTTGCTTGAGTGGAGCTGTTAATCCTTTTTTTCCCTACATAGCTGACTTACTCCTCGTGGTGTCGCCTGTCGTGCCTCCATGTTGCTACGGCCAAGTTTTGGCTGTTTGTGAACGCAGAGGCTTCAGTCTGATGGGGCTGCAGAGGCTGCAGCTTCAGAGCAATGGAGCTGCAGTCCTCGGACTCACCAACCAACAGGTAGAACAACGGGATACTAGTTCAGAGTTCAGACTTTCAGAAGTAGAGTAATAGCAATAATTAGTAATAATTAATTCTTTATATTGTATACTTTTTGCTTTGTAGGGAATTAAAAGGAATTAAAATTATAATTTACTGGAGATACTTGTAAAGGTGGAAAAGAAAATTTATTTTTGTTCTTAGACCTTGTAGTTGGTGCTGAAATCCAGAATGATGAGTTTTATGTAATAATGGGACATTTTGTTTGTCAATTGTTATCTTGATAATTTTTTGTAATTAATGGATTTGTAACTGTGGGTTTGGGTTGGGTCTAGGGAATCACACATTTCTCCTTGTACTTCTGTATTTTTCATCACAGTTTTAAAATTTGTATCTTTGTTTTCTCAAGGCACTTGCATTCTGCAGTCCACATATTGGGACCTCGGATCAGGAGCAGCTGGAGCGGCCCTCTCACTGTCTGGTGTTGTTACTGAGGAAAGAAAATGCGACGCACCACAGTGTTAGTCTTCCAGCAGGTCTGATCTGTTTCAAATGATATCCACACCATAAATAATCTACATAAATCAAATGGAAAGTAAGAAATTGCATGTAATAATGTGAAAATCTGTATTGTTGTGTCTTTGTCAATAAAATAACCATGCAGTTGCCCTATTGTTACAGCCCTAATGAGAGAATTTAAGGCACAAAAGCTTCTGGGTTGCATCCACTCCAGGCTTGAAGGTGTTCACACAGTAGAGTCAAGCTTCTGTTTCCACGCTGTATCTTACAGCAGTAACCTGTTCCATATCTTTGGTAAGCACTGTGTGTTAAGGATCAGTAAAGATTATAGCAGATGATCCTCTGCTGTTGTCCTTTATGTTCCCTATGTATTCTTTTTAGTTAGGCGAATGTGTGCAGTGCCAGATCCCTCAGGTGTGATCCTGTCCCATCAGAAGTGCTCATCCAACTCTAACATGGAGCAGGTGGTGATTTTGACCTTGTGTGGGAAGGACATGAGCCAAGGCCTGAGCCTCCTACACAGAGTGCTGACAGAAGGGGCAGCAGGTGGGTGAAGTTCAGCTGTATTTATGAGAGCACAGCCTGTTCTGGGCTTTGGAACTGGAGGTGGCAGTAAACAAACAAAATACACTGTCAAATACAGATAGCAGCCTACAGAGTTGAATGAATACAAATTAATGTGAGAGAATCCCCCCCACCCCCTCCGTATTCTTCAATGTTTGCAATGTTTTTTTAATTTATATTCAAGGTGACGTACAACGCACAGGATTCGAGCTGCTGGGCCTGAAGTATCTGCCTGTGTTGACTCGAATTCAGGCTCGGGAGCTTAGTCCATACGAGGTGGGAGAGCAGCTCTGTCACAACAGCCTGGACAATCTGATGCCCTCTCCTGCCCTAGTGTGTGCTCTTAGACGAGTGGATGGTTTTGCTTTGCTGAAAAAGCTCCTACCACGCAATTACCCTGGTAACCTCAGTGTCCTGATGTCACCCACACCTGAAGTGGCTTTCAGACAAGCGTCCCTCTTCTTCTTTGAGCATGAGATCATTCCTGGTAGGTTTGTTATGGGCTGTATAAAACATGCAATTAGACGCATTTAAGTCTATCCCAGCATTTAAGGAGAAATACAAAGATAGCCTTGTGTGTACAAGCTGGGAATAGGCTTACCACCCCACTTCTGTCCTTTGGAGACTACAGACTGCCCCAAATTGGGGAAGTTTCTTCCCCAAAACTGCAGTACAAAATGTGGAAGCAACCCCAATTCTAAATAATATTCACAACGACCATGTTGAGCTTGTTTGATTGTTTCTGGAATTAGTGGATGTAGTGGTATTTAAAAGTAGATTCCTAACAACTACCCTGCACACAATAATTATATTGTATCTTCAGTCACAAAACAAACTCTACAGTGTAAAAAAGGTGTCCCTCTGGTGCTCTTCAGTTTGGGGAAATCTACTGGTTTAGAATTGTTGAAAAACTCTGAGGCACTCAGGAGGGTAATGATTTATTTTTTCATGTTTTTTAACTGTTACTATAAGTAAATAGCCATGAGATATTAAAGGATTTTTGAATCACTACTCTCTTGAGTGCCTCAGATCTCTTAGACAGTTCTATTTATATTTTATATTGTAATTCACCAGAGGGGCATTTTTCTTTATTGTAGCAACTAAACCGATGAACTCTCTGACTCTGCGTGCTCAGAGTTTTCCAGCTCACGGGCTCAAAACAGCACATGCAGTATATAGGGTTGCTTGTCTTCAAAAATAAGCTCATAAATACTCAGTATAAATCTGAGTGATTAATATATTTTGTGCAGCTCAGAATTATTATAGTCTATAATAATGGCAAACTACTATAGTGATGTTTTATCATGTTCTAAGTGGGAGTTGCTGTAGATTCTATTACAATGTTGATGTCAAAATCAAAAGATAAATCATTTAGTCACAGAACTGTGTTTTATAGTGTGGACATGATGCAGGTCATGCATATTGTATAATACTGAACATTCAAAATATTTACAATATGCTTAAATATTAAAAAGTGGTGTAACAGTAACAAACAAACTTTATGTTCAGACCCACAGATGCTGCTTACTGTGTGCCTATTCAAGCCAGGAATCTGGAACCACGCTTTGGCTGAAATAGTTTGGAAACTCCAACTGAGTGGCCTCAGGATAGTGGGCCTGCGTGTAGTGACCCTGGACAGAAGCAATGCTACCTCACTGCTGCCTGCAGAAAGTGTAACTGAGAATGATTATCTGACTGAAAAATAAGCTTTCTTTTCATGCCAAACTTATGCCATTATAATTCATACAGTGTTGTGTGCAGGACCCCTCAGACATGGAGACCCATGTGGAGTACTTGTGCTCTGGCTCCTCACTGGCTCTCTGCCTTGAGGGGGAGAATGCTGTGAGAAGGCTGCTGTATGTGCTGGGCCAAGAGGACTGGACAACCTGTTTTGGCATGGCTCAGTCATACAAAGGCATCTATGGTCAGTGCCCTGTACTGCACACTGGTGCACATTCAAAAACAGGGTTACTCTGTATGTTACAGTATAAGTGCATTAAGTTAAGCACTTTATTTGAAATGTTACAGGATCAGAATCATATCAGAAAGCAATTCAGGATGTGAAGAGGCTTTTTCCAAACGGGCTCTGCTGTTCTGAGACCAGCACAATGAGACAGGAGCAGGTATGCATATCACACACAGGACTTGGTACATTGGTTCTGCATCTGATTGGTAAATGGCAGACATTCTATGTTTGCGCTTGGTTTCTTTTTTCAGATACTCAAGATGTGCTCAGACCCTTTAGCCTCTGTGGAGCGTGAACAGAGCTGCACACTGGCCCTCATTGCCCAGGAGTGTCTGTCACCTTCAGTGGCATCAGAACCAAATGAAGGTTTGGACTACTTCTCTGGTTTTATTTTCATAAATAGACAATTATATGTATTGGTAACTTTTATGACGAGCAATGCTGTAAACTTGAACAAGGCTATGCCCTGTGGTCATGGTACCTCATGGTATTGTCATTACTTTAAACTCAAAGCATTGAGCACTGCACAGCATAGCAAAATGGGCCCCTTTAAATTATTTAATCATTTATTGTGACTTTGGCAGGGACTCCTCTGGAATGGATGTTGAAATATGACTCAGTTCCAGATGACCTTTGTAAACCATGCAAAAACAAATGTCCTGTTTTGCTTGTTTGTTGGTACCAGGGTCCCTGATACACAGTGCTCTCTGGCAGACAACCTGTCTGCTGATACCCTTAAATGCTCCACCCCTCAGCCAGGTGCCATCCCAGCTGGACCTGCTGGAGCAGTTGCTGAGGTCAGGCTGCCATCTGGTGGCAGCGAGAATGAGCATACTAGATAATGAGCAGAGGAAACATATCGCTGAGACACTGAACGTGTCACTGAGAGGCAATGATAAGGTGAGTGGTTTTGGTTTAAAAAAGTTTGAGCTTACTTTCTTACAAATAGAGCAATCAGCAGCTGATTTCCCCTGCTGTCATGTCTTTAAAAGATGGCTCATCTTTTCACTACACCCTGTCTCATCATGGCTCTGCAAGGGGAAATGATTGTGACCTGCTTTAACCTGATCCTTGAAAGGTATGGACAAAGACACTCAAATCTATTGTGTGAACATGTGGGGTATTTACATAAAAATAACTGTTTCATATTCCCTGCGTCACCATTACACTAGCATTTACAAGGACAGGTCAGACCTAGAAAAAGTGGGGAAAAGGATCATCTACACCAAGAGTGAGGAAGAGGTAAATCATGAATTCCACTTTTTCTTTACTGCCTTTATTTATTCTTAATAAATTAACAAATGTATTTAGCTCCTTTGTTAAAACCAAACAGGTGTAATTCTGTGTTATGGTTTGTTGTATTATCATGAAATATTGTTTGGTTGATCAACATGTCACTTGTTGTTCTCTCCTCCAGGCCAAGCAGCTGATATGTTACCTATTTGATGTCTTGTCTTCCAAGAGCTGTCATACTATTGTGCCATGAAGTTCAAATTGGTGCACATGTTAGGTTAAGCTACATCAGTTTCCATTTTTACAACATGTCATGAAAAAAATAATTTATAATACTAACTGTTCAGGAAAAGTTGTGTTAGACAATTAAATGTTTTTCAGATCAGTGTAATGTAATTCATGTTTTTCTTTGGAGTCCTCTTGACATATTCGGCACCAACAGTATTCTAAGAACTTTATTCTGTACCTTGTGTTTCAGACAAAGAGTATTCACACACTTCAGATGAAAAATTATTTTAATTCTCAAGATGATAAAAATAACTTTGTGAACTCTGTAAACCATTGCATAACTGTAGTGTTACAATTTAACAAGTGTTAACAAACTAGTAATACACTACAGAAAATATGCGGTACACAATCCTCAATGTAGAAAAGAAAAATCTAGTATTCTAAGACTTGCACCTATTTTTGTGTTCACAACACAAAAAATGTCAATATACCAACAGAATAATTTCTACGATTATCAGTAGAGAATTTCCTACATATCCATACAGCTTGTCACAAAATAAGGGACATATTTTTTAATCTATAAATAATGTCTAAACCCACTGACATTAAGTAAATATTTTTATGAAATGCAGTTTCCTCAGATTTAACACATTCTCTATTAAATCACTGTATTACCCTGAGAAAAATACATTTCTTTCCTTATATATCCGCATTATGCTGACAAATAGAAACTTGAAAACTTGCATTTGTTTTAGTTCTAATAAATTTTATTGAATAGCAGTTCACAACTAGATGCTACATCATAATGAATTAACTGCGCTCCATAATATCCAGTGACCTATTAATTGAATACCTAATTTAGAACAATACATTCAATATTTCAGGGCTTCAATGTTAAATAACATTTCTACTGATCTGTTCTAAAGTGTATAGAACAAATGGTTCCACATTCAGATTATTTACTTTTGACAACACTTGTTGTACTAGTATTTTACTTAATTTGAACAGCTCCATACATCATACTCATATACATGTACAAGATTGCATAAATCTTCAGGCTCCATTTTCATAATATTAAAAACAAAAAGACAACACAACAACTAACAATAATGCAAAATAGATTAAACTATTCCAATGCAGAGCATAATGAAACATCTATTACAGTTCATTTACAAGAGTCTTCCTATTTGGTGCTTTTCCTTACAAACAATTGAGTTTTTGGTGCCAAATGACTAATTGAGATCAAAATTGTGTATTCAATGGTCAAGTATTGCTGTGTTTTTGTTTTTTAAAATGGTATGGCAAATACAGACTGAGACAGACAATTATCAGTCAATTCTAACCTTTGCTTCCTGCTGTGGAACTGGTAGGCAAATCTCATTAGATTAGCTTTTTCCTTTTCAACTCAAGTAGCCTGAATGCACAGGATTATTTAGCAATCACATTTGTGGTCCACAAAAATATTGTAAGGCACTGGAATTTTGATTCTAATTAAACATGTTATATTTTGTCTCAGACATATTCTCTTGATACCAATCAACATAATGTAATTGTTAAAGGCACAGATGTACTTGAATGTGTAATTGGTCCGTTAGAGATACATTTTAACAAATCTAAAGAAATGTAAAGAAATGCAAGCTGTGCTTACCAAGTGAATGTTAGTTTAATTTCTTTTTAGAAAATTTGAATTAGGGCAAGTAGACCACAAGAGAAACCAACAGCCAACAACAAATTACCATAACAACAACTCAGTTTTAATTATGTCTGTATCTGCCATCAATGTTTTGTCACAATCATCATCTGTCCCCTGTAATTTTACAAAAAACAAAAACTAATTTGGACCACGGCTTTAAGGAATAGAAAACAGTCAGATAGAAAGAAAGCACCTTACAGTCACTGTAGGCCTATCATAACAGCATATAATGCATAACCATCAATTTCCAAAGTGATTGTGATTATGTGGTTAAGCAAAATCAACAAATAAACAAAACTTCAGAACAGTAGTTGTAGTGAAGTTTATATGGCCACTTCAGAAGCACAAATGTCATTCACCTTTGACATTCCTTCACTGTAGACAACAAATAAACTGACACTGAATCCTTGCTTAAAGTCAGCATGTGCTAGCCAGTATTGCACAAACCTGCCATAAACGTCAATGTATACTTAACACAAAATCAAATATACAAATACACATTTCTGTAAGGATGTGACCCATGCATTTTTGATCATTTGTGTATCAACTCACTATAGCTAACTTTAGATAGAAAAAGATGCCATTAATTACTGTTAATGAACATTATCTATTTAAGGTACTAGGTGATTACTTTTTTAAACTCAATTTAGGTTTCTTACTGAAATAAAACCAACGATGAAATGTAGTACAAAAAAGAAATAACAACAGTACAGGTCTTTGGTAAAACTGCAAAAAATGGGCTCAAGTCCATTAATGTTGTAAGCAAAATCCATTAGCATAGTCCTGTTGTTTATTCAGTAAGAGGATATATGTTCTACTGAATGGAATATCAAAGCAAAAATCCATCTGAAAACAGAATTCCTGCCACTCACAATGCTGGACTTTGTCTTGGTTTCATCTGCAAAAGACCCGGCCCTGTTCACAACTACAGGCTGATCTGTCCAAGAGCAATTATTTGAATCCTGTTCAAGGGTAAATTTTCCCTTTAGAATACATATTTGGACAGCTACTAGAACACCACTTTGGTTCATTTTTATATTATCACACTAGACATCATTAATTTAGTTGGCTTCACAGGCAAAACAAAATAGACTAAAGGATCCTGTGAAATTAGCTGCACCGTACACTGATATCCAGTGTATGGGGGTGGGGGAAGAAATCCAACAAAAACATTTACCTTCAATCAAATAAAAAAGGGGACAATCTAGCAGTACAGGTTGGTGACATCATTCTAAGTGAAATACTTAAGTACTGAAAGTTTGACTCAAATGCATTTACAAATGAATTATCCAATCAAATTAAGAGTTAGATTGTTTCTGAAATCTGAGCTGTGGATGCACAACATTCAAACATCTAAATGTATAACAGGAAACTACATTAATACCTTTTCCAGTAGCAGCGAAGCTTGCAGAAGTTATTAAGCCTTTACTACACTAAAAATAAGTCAATACAAATATTCTGGCAGTGTGACACAGTGCAAACTTTTTTTTTGTCTTTTTTGTAGCTGGTTAATATATGTCGCATAACATGCAATACCAGAAGTGTTTAGGCTGCCTTTTATGCTGTAATATAATCATGAAAATGCTAAAATACCATAACCTTTCTTGATATTTTTCCTCTGAGTTGCTTAATTGTAATTTATGTGAATGTAAACAATGCATCTTCCCATATTCATAAGTAGCAAAAGGTGTACCTGGAGATACATGATTTTCTATTGAATTTAAAGCAAGAATAAAAAGATTTTTTAACACAGTAGAAGGTCATTTCAATTAGAGGAACCTAAGCACAAATGCTATGCAAAATTCAACTTACAAGTTAACTACAGAATTCTTCAACCACTGCAGAATTATTACAATAAAACAAATTAAAGTTAATGAACTGTTTAAAAAGCATTTTTATATGTTACTATACAAATTCATGTGTCCTGTTTGCATACTCCCAAACGTTAAATTGAAAAACCTAATTTCAAAGCCTGAAGCTGCACCAAAAGAGCACCACGACCAAGGAATGAGTGGGTGGGTAGTTGGAGGGGAGAGTGAAGGTTCGTTTCTAAGGTTGAAGTCAGGACACAGGCACTGACAATGTTTGTTTTCAATTATCTTGCGCAGAAATACTTAATGGGATTGGGCCAAACACACTGGCATATATTTATATATACACATATAGTCATACACATTTCAATGCTTCTGCAAAGTTTAACAAGACACATTATGCAGAAACCTGTGCACAAGCTTCAACTACTTGTGTTTGCTCTGACAATTCTACACATAACCTTTTCAACTAAGGCAAGGCACTTTCGAGTTAGAGGCCGATATGTTCTAGACAAGGTCAAGAGGCTAGATTCCTACAAAAATCACCATTTCAGGCTTTTAGCAAATACAATACATGCTTCTCTAATGGCTAGGCTATATAAATCTCTACAAAACAAAACTAACTGATTGAATAACAGCCTTAACATGTAGCATGTGCCTTACTGATATTATAGCTGCTGGTTATGCCTAAAATGCATCTTAAATTTGCACTTATTTGATTGAAATTTTATAAATCTAACTATGAAAGTAGAAACTATTAAGTACTTTTCTATGAAATCTTAATATGTAGAACCATGCCATGATTTAACAATAGGAAACATGAAATATTCAAATGATGTTTCACAGTACACACAAAAGCTTCAGACATTAGCTTATATAGAAAAAAAAATATAAATCTAAAAAAGACACAAAAGAATACCTACAAAGCAGCTTAAAGCAAATTTCTATATACCCTTTAATAAAGTCCCAGGTCAACAAAGTGCTTTAGTAAGAAATCAAACGTCTTCAGAAAGTTGGTCAAAATAATGATGCTTGACTGGTTGCACTGAAAAAAAAAAATGCTAACGAAAATTTGGGTTTAAGAAAATGTGGCTTTACTTAAAGAGGAACACTGTTCAACATACATTTGTTTTGTTTCCTGGTTTAGTCTGATTTACAGATACAGGTGTGGTTCGGCACTAATACTGCAATACATTTGTGAAACATTTTACAAATCTTAAACCAGTTTCTATTGTTGGACAGTACTTTGGAGGAAGAGATCTATTCTTTCATCAATTACTCCACGTACAGGTAAATGCAGGAATGTATTCATTTCTCAGGGCATGGATCTTCTGAGCATCAAGTGCTTTCTGGGACAATGAATTTCATCAGCGACCCATTTCATAATCCAGACTAATTAGGCTAAAACAAAAATATGATTACTGAATTAAGTATCAGTCAAATTCCGGTTCTTGAAAGTCTGGTTTCTTAATTTGTTCCTCTTTAATTAAAGAAAAATCTGTTTTGAGTTTTGCCCATTTT